AGTGGGCACTGGAAGGTGACATTGGCCCCAGGGTGGTACACAGCGCTCTGTCCTTGGGCCACGTCTCCATTCTGGATGTTGGGGCTTGTGCATGTGATCACTGGAAGTGAAAAGCAGCAGAGCTTGTGCTGGGGAAGAGGCTGCCAGAGCCGGGGGTGTCCCATGTTGGTTTTGTGAGGTCAAAATTCAGGGAAGGCCATGTGACCACGATAGTCTCCCTTTTCACTATGGGTAACAGATTCACAGCTCACCTTCACACCGGGGGTAAGGGAGGCTCCAGAACCCAGATGTCAAACAAGAAACTGTTGTTTTCCCAGTGAGGACGTACCCAGGGTCACAGTAGTACTTCACTGATATTCCAGGGATGAACACTTCCACATCCTTTCTCTCATACTGGCCATTTTTTATATTTGGAGGGGATGGACACTGTAGCACTATAAAGAGGGGAAAAAAAGTCGTAACAGGTGAAGAGGTGGTACCCCCCACACCCGCTATAGGGTACGACAGCCTTTTCACTTCTTTCCTTCCCATTAACTTTTCCAAACAGCTAGATATGTCAGTGTATGAATGATGTTTCCATCCCACCTTCACCCATCTTCCTGCTTTCGTTTTGTCTAGCTGATTGACACCAAGGGTGATAATTTCTCACTCTTTAGGCTTTTACAGTGGTTAGTTTCCATCTGGGGCCCTTGCTCTGGTCTTTCCATCGTTGTGAACAAGATCAGACACCAGGCTGGCTCACTCTGTCCCTGTGGATTCATTCAGGGAGGTGAAAGCTCTACATAACAAGGGGCTGAATAGGGATTATGAAGATGGGAGGATAGACATTTACATGTGTTTCCTTTCCAGTCCTGAAAGTTGCGCTTTTACCCCCAAGGAGAAGCAGTTGCATCCTGCCAGGAGCACTCACACAGTGGTTCAGAAATAATCAGCGACCACCCGCCACCTCATTGACACTTACTCTTTTCACAGATGGGGACAGGAGGGTCCCACAGGCCCCCAAAATGACACTGAGACTCCTGAGAGCCCTTCAAGGCGTAACCAAAATCACATTCAAAAATGATAACGTCTTCAGGTCTGTACACAGTCTCCAGCCCAGTTGTTCTTCCGTTCTCGATCTCCGGTCTTTTGCAGCCTTTTGCTGGAAGTGAAGAGCACAAGGCACCGCTGGGGACATGAAGCCCATCCTGGGTGCAGAGGGACACTGACCAGAGGCAGCACCTGCTGCTGGACCTTGCCATTACTGTCATGTGTACATCAGCATTATTGACTCATTCATACACAAAATATCTTATCCAACTGCTCCTGAGAGTCTGTCCTTATTGAGGGGCAGACAGGAAACTCCACAGAGGCAGGTGGAGCTCCTGCCTGTGGGACCCTGGGTCTCACCCTCTGACTGGACATTTGTTCTGCATCGAATAGACCGAGAGCCAAGAAGAAAGAAAGGAGTTGGGGAAAGATAAAAGAATCCAACACAGACACACCTTCACATCGGGGCCAGGGCCGGCTCCACGTTCCCCTGGCAGTACAGCTAATGGAAGCATTCCCAATGAGGGAGTAGCCATCCCTGCAGGTGTACTGCACAACCGAGCCCAGAACGTGGGTGTCCGAGGGCTGGCTGCTGTGCTCTGCGTTGGCGATGCCTGGAGGGGGAGGACACTTCACCTCTGTGAAGAAGAAGGAAGGACAGATCAGAAGTATGGACAGGGGAAGAAAAAAATTTTTAAAATCCATGTTTCAAAAACCAAAGGAGGGAGACAATTGATTTGATTAACTCTTTAAATAAATATTTGTCATATTAGCTGTCTTCCAAGCAGTGGGTGCAGCCCCACCGCAGCCATGGTCATTCCTTCTGCCTCTCACAACCAAGTCTTGCCGTCGGGGACGGCCGCGGGCGCAGCACAGAGCCCTACCTCCGCACCGTGGCCGCGGCCCGCCTCCCCAGCCCGCGCCCGCCGTCG